CAAGATTTTTCTATGATTGCTTTACCACTAACGAAGTTAACCAGGAAGGATGTTAAGTTTGAGTGGGACGAGAATTGTGAGCAAAGTTTCCTGCAGCTGAAATATTGCCTCACTCATGCTCCAATGTTGGTACTTCCTGACGATAGTGGTAACTTTGAGATTTACAGTGATGCTTCCTTGAATGGTTTGGGATGTGTCTTGATGCAGCATAATAGAGTGATCGCCTATGCTTCTCGACAATTGAAGATTCATGAAAGGAATTATCCTACTCACGATCTTGGGTTGGCAGCCATTGTCTTTGCTTTGAAGATTTAGAGGCATTATCTCTATGGTGAAAAATGTAAGATCTTCACAGATCATAAGAGTCTTCAGTATCTTTTTACTCAGCATGATCTTAATCTTCGTCAGCAAAGGTGGATGGAGTTACTAAGTGATTATGACTGCACTATTGAGTATCATCCGGGTCGTGCAAATGTGGTAACTGATGCGCTGAGTAAGAAACCTTAAGGTCGACTTAATGCTTTATATGCTTGCCGTATTCCTCTTCTTGCATATTTGAGAGCTACCGGAGTAAAGTTGGAGTTAGAAGAACGAAGAGAAGCTTTTCTTGCTAGTTTCCAAGTCAGGCCAGTTTTAGTCGATCGTGTACTTGAAGCTCAGATGGTAGATGAAGAGATCCAAGAAATGATCCAATTGAGAAATGAAGGGAAAAAGAAAGACCTCAGGATTCGGGAATCGGATGGCATGCTTATGCAGGAGAACAGAATGTATGTGCCAAATAATGAGGAATTAAATAAGGAAATTTTGGATGAAGCACATTGTTCAGCTTATGCGATGTATCCAGGAGGAACTAAGATGTACCATACCATTCGACCATTTTATTATTGGGCGGGTATGAAAAGGGAAATTGCAGATTATGTAAGTAGGTGTATTGTTTGTCAGCAAGTCAAAGCAAAAAGAAATAAGCCTTTTAGGTGGATGCAACCACTTCCCGTTCCTCAGTGGAAATGGGAGAATATAACTATGGATTTTGTGTATAAGCTTCCTCGTACACAGAATGGATTTGATGGCGTTTGGGTGGTTGTAGATCGGCTTACCAAGTCAGCACACTTCATTCCAGTGAGGGAAAAGTACCCCCTAAATAAATTGGCTAAGTTGTTCATCACGAAGATTGTGAAGTATCATGGAGTTCCAATGAATATTATTTCTGATCGAGATCCAAGATTTACTTCTAAGTTTTAGGTAGCTTTTTAGGAAGCTTTTGGTACGAAACTGCTTTACAACACTGCTTATCATCCTCAAACATATGGACAATCAGAGAGGACTATTCAGACATTAGAGGATATGCTGAGATCTTCAGTGTTACAGTTTGGTGATTCTTGGCATGATCGCCTAGACTTGATGGAATTTGCCTACAATAATAGTTTTCATTCGAGCATTGGTATGTCACCATTTGAGGCACTTTAGGGTAGAGCTTGTCGTACGCCATTGTGTTGGTCAGAAGTTGGTGAAAGAGTGCTAGAGGGCCCAGAGATTGTGGATGAAACTACTCAAAGTGTTCAGGTGATTAAGTCTAACCTGAAAGCGGCCTAGGATCGACAAAAGAGTTTAGCAGATAGACATGCTACTGATCGAGTATATGATGTGGGTAATTTGGTATTTTTGAAATTGTCACCTTGGAGAGGTGTAGTGCGGTTTGGAAAGAAAGGCAAGCTAAGTCCTAGGTACATAGGACCTTATGAGATCACTAAAAGGATTGGTGAAGTTGCTTACAGATTGGAGTTGCCTCCGGAGTTATCTAAGGTACATAATGTATTTCATGTCTCAATGCTTCGACATTATGTTTCAGATCCTTCACATGTGATTCCTCCTCAACCTTTGGAGATTAATCCGGATTTGACGTATGATGAGGAACCAGTGACTATCTTGGATTGGAAAGACAAAGTTCTAAGGAATAAGACAGTGAGCTTGGTAAAAGTATTGTGGAGGAATCACTCAGTAGAAGAATCTACTTGGGAGACGGAAGATCGAATGAGAGAGATGTATCCAAGGTTATTTTATGAATATTAGTGGATTGAGTGTTGTATGAATTTCGAGGACGAAATTCTATAAGGAGGGGAGATTGTCACAGCCCGTCCCGAAATTTATTTATCGTGGATGTGAAATGACGGAATTGCCCTTAAAGGCTATTAAGGTACGTGTGACATGTGGTTTGAATATTGCATACTCTCCTAAATTCTTGGAAAATTTTAAATGGATTAAAAGTTGTATACAATTTGTGTGGTTAGGGACTTAAAGGAATTTGTATTATGGTTTGTTTTGGGTGGACCACACACACACGGGACAACACACTCACCCCATGCCCTCTCTCTCTTCCTTCTCAGTTTCTCTCTCTTCCTTCGAATTTTACGGACGAGCACCAAAATCCCTCAAAACATCATGGATCGATGTCAAAAAGGTAAGTTTTAGAATCCTTGCAAGCTTGTGAGTTCATTGGTACCATTTTTGGAACTTAGAACCTTCGAAAACTCCTGAAACCCGAACCCCCAATTTTGAGTACTGTTCATGTGGACGTGAAATGTTGATTTTTAGGGAATTCTAAGCTTACAGGGAGCTTAGTGAGGTCCCAAGGAAGCTCGGAGTACTTAGTTTGAAGGTTTTGGACGTCGGGATCGTAGGGTTCGAAGTTGGCCGGTTTTCTTGGATTTTCTCCGGTGAGATTTCATATGTTTTTTAGCCTTAAAGTAGTATAATGTGATTCTACATGCTTAGGGCTTCATTTTGATGTATATTTTGTAAAAAATGGTGGAGAATCGACGGAGAAAATGGAGTTTGAAAATTCTCCAGTTTTCCGGCGCCGGCGAAACCAGTTCGGCGACTGGAGGAAGAAGATGACGTGCGTGGGGGTGCGTGGGTCTGTGCCCCTCCCGACGCTTGGGGGCGCGTGCGGCATTGAAATTTTTTTCTAAAAATACCTCGACGTCCGTGACGTCGAGTAGGTCACTGTGGTATATTCTTATACCCAATTTGAGCATCGTATGAGAAGTTATTACGTATTGTTGGTTGTATGCTTTAAATAACGTTTTTATAGTTGTTTCACATATAAGTGAGACCTATCCCGAGGACGAGCGCGTTCAAGGGTGTCACGGAGGTTATGACCCTTCAACTTACTAGTGAGTGGGCAGTATTTTCTATATTTACCTATATACTATTGATTTTTCCCCAAAATTGAATTAAATGAAAGTATGTTTTAAAATGCCATGCATACATATATATAAAATATATGAATTAGTAATTGTTGCATATATATGTTAAATGGTGTTGTGGACGCACATGTGAGTATGAGGTGAGTTTATATTGTTCATATAATTTATTAATGATGTGAATTGTGTTGAGAGCTCATAACCTACACCCCTGGTGTTAGTGCTTATATTATTCACCCCGCACCACACGCTCACCTTGGATCCAAGTAGGTGCATGTCGTACAAACCATTAGAGATGGTTCCGACTTATAGGTGATCTTAGATTATTATACAGCTGTTGATGAGAGAAGCACTAAAGTGTATTCTTACACCATTCTTATCGTACAGACTACTTTAGGTAGTTCCGATTTATGTGCAGAGTAGCGCCATACAGGTCACAGTGGTGACTCCGGTTGGATTGGATATTGAGCTATAAAATTGACCGTACAGGACAGCTGCAAGGTCTCCGGTTGATTCCTTATTTCACCTGTTATTTTGATGCATCCTTATTCTGTTATTGACGCTTACAGCATGACATACTTTCTAGTTTTTTATAAAGATTGGTGAATTGAGATATTTGAAGATTTATATGCATATTATGTTATTGTCTGGGAAAGTATACAGGTTTTACAGCGAGGGGTTAGAAATGTTATTAAATGAAATATTTTCGAAAAGCTTTGTTTTACTGACCCACTCAATCTTGTTTTGCGCCCCTCCAGGTTCTAGTTAGCGCTTCCGCATCGCACTTTTGGTTACGTCACGCTCACGCAATGGCCAGCACGCCTTGATTCTAGGATCGAGGTGTGTCAGTTAAATTGAGATTTACCTAAAAAGAATTTGCTAAATACATTAAAAGTCTATTTCTATATCAATTTTCATTAAATCTTAATATTAAAAGAAGAAAGATATACAAACATTACTTAAACATTACACAGATCACGTTTTTAGACTTAAATATACTAATTAAGTTTAAATAATCTAATTTTAACCATTTATTTTTTCAATTTATTAAATAGTTAATCCATTAAATCTAAAGATCCGATCAACTTTAACTTTGAAAAACTTCTTTTTGCAGATGCAACTATAACTAGTATGGTTAACAAAATTGTACAGGCAACCCATGCATTCTAGAAACAACCATCCATTTGATTCAGATATTTCAACACTTCCATTGCCCAATTTATTTCCTCAGTGGTGGTTGCAGAGGTGCAGTGGCGGTGGACATGGTGAGGCGGTGGTGGTGGTGTTGGTGTGGTGATGGTGAAACAATGGAGGTGGCCATGGGGGCAAGGCTGATCACAATGGAGGATATGGTGGTGGGAGATGTTGATGTCAGAGATTGTGGATGTCGTGGTGGTGATGGTGAGTCGGTAGAGTATGTTTTTGTGGTGGTGATGGAGGAGGTGGTGGTGGTGGTGGTGGTGATGGTGACGGTGATGGATCATCAATTTAACATCTCACCCTAAATCCATTAAGTTTTTCATCTAAAATAAGTTGTGCAAGGCACATGACTTGTATTCAGAGTTATTCTTGTAATTTGAAATGCCATCTTCTTGGTTAGGTTTTCGAAGGTTTAGTTAATGTCGAGCAATGGATGCTTCAAAATTGGTAAACTAACTGAAGAATTTTGTGCCGAACATAATAACATTTGAGACGAACTTCCAAAACTTAGATATCTTCGTTTTTTCGTTCCAAATTTGTCAATCACCTCTTCTGTTTTGCGCATACTGATATACAAAACTAGAGGAACAAAAAGAATATAAGAAAGTTGGAAGAATGAATCAACGCTTATTGGTTTGTGTCCGTAGCCAAACATCGCTATAAATGTTGCACCATCTGCCAAAAAGAATATACCTGATAATAAGAAGAGAAACGATGAGACCAGCTAGGCAATGCACCTCTAGACAACACTCTCTTGTGACCCATAAGAAACGCATGGTTACAAAGACGATGAACGGAAAATTACATCACATGGGGCCGGCCACAAAATTACACAACTTTTGTTTCAAAATACAACCTTCTATACCAAATATTGGTCTAGATGTGAATTGTGATGGAATTTAATAGTAAAAACCTTACTTTTGTCAATTTCATCGGTAGCCGCCATATGGCTGCTGAGGATTACCACCTGCGCCCATCATGGGGTTATAACCACTAGGCATGTTTGAACCAGGAGGTAATCTGGTTTGCCTTTGCATCCCCAAGCCCATATTCATTCCCATTCCCATGTTCGTCCCCATATCCATGGGTTGATTTGTGCCACCATACCCCCCCATGCCCATACCTCCACCAGGACTGCGGCCCATACCCATGCCCGGACCAGGACCCATCCCCACGCCCATACCAGAACCCACCATAGCGTTTGGTGGCGCCCTAAGAACACTTGCACCTGCACGGCCAATTCCAGAACCAGATCCCATGGCTTTACCCATGTTAATAGTAGATGTTGCAGGAGTTGCCGGCTGCTTCTCCATCCTCTTTTCCTTCCGATTAATGGAATCAAAATCAATTCCAATATCATTCAATGGGTTAATTTTAGCTGCAAATGAAAAAACAAAACAAAAGCCGTTATAAAACACACAAAAAACATAGATAGTTAATAAACAAGTTGAAGAAGAGACATAGCCCTCACCTCCAGATATATTTAAATTAACTAGGCCTCTGCTGAGCGTATCAGCCCAAACTGCTGACTTAGTTTCAAACTTGCTGTCTTTAGGTGGTTGAGCAACTATAGCAAGTGCCCCTGTTGAAGATGACAGTGGTTGCAGGGAACCCATTGAGGTGTTTGGCCCTGTTTGTGAAAAAACGTTGCCCAGAACATCACTGTTATGTTGCGAACCTCGTCCAGATGGAGCTTGATGAGCGGCCTGTGAAGCTACCGAGCCGACAGAACCATGTTGTGGATGGAAGTTCCCACCACTAAGCTGTGCAGCCGGTCCATTATGAGCATGAAGAGGCATGTAACCTCCCTGTTGTGAAAAGAAGTTTCCGCTGTAGGGAGCTGAAAATCCACCTTCTTGTGAAATGAAACTTCCATTGTTAAACTGTGCAGTAGGTCCTGTTGGAGTTTGAGGAGCTCCATGTGAAGTGATGGTAGCTGTAGGCCCTCCCTGTGATGGAAAACCCCCACCACTGTGTTGTCCAGCAAATCCAGTTTGATTATCAGGGACTATAGATCCTGGCTGCACATGAAAATTTCCATACATATTAGTACTTGGCTGTGGATGCTGACCTGTTGGACTTGAAAAGGATTGCTGTGAAGGTCCGGTAGGTGGCAGAATATCAGCGAGAATATCCATGTTGTTGTGTTCAGTAGAGAGCTCTTGAGACACAAATTGCGAGTTTGTTGGAGTCTGAACACTGGAAACACCAGATAAAGAATAACTTGCAGCAGAAAATGAATCCCCCAAGGGAAAGTTGGAAGCTGTATCTACACTCTGGTTCATGGTTGGTGTGAAAGAGTCTGTGGACGTGGAAGTGTGTGGCTGAGGTTGGACCGCCTCACTGGAAGGTAGAGCTTTGAAAGGGGAATCACCGAATGGATCTTCAAATGGCTGCATTGAAGGAGAACACTTTTAATCCAAGAAGCAGCATGTCACTTGAGAAATTATTTTAATAGCAAAAATGCCTACCTGATTCATAACATTAGACGTTGATGGAGTTGCTGCAAATGTGGTTGCAGAACTAGAGTTTACAAGGGGATCAGCTACAAATGTAGCAGTAGAAGATGTAGTCGGTACAATGGCCAATGCATTTGAAGAGAATGAGTCAGAAAGGGAACCTAGTAAGTCCATCTCAACATTGTTTGAGGTAACCGGGGCTGCTTGGACAGCTGGGGCAGCTTGGGCAGCTGTTAAAGGAAAGACAATGTGAGTTTCTCATAGAGCTGCATTTCAATCACAAACATAAACGTAAAAGAACATTTATATCAAAACAACCTGCTTGCAAAAGGTTACCAAGATAGTAAATGATCTTTTTTCCAGGATAACAACATATAAGAAATGATCTGGTTTTATACACAGGAGCATAAACTAACATACGAAAAAATACACCGTTACATGAGACCTTTGTTCTCTGTATCAACAGGGTGTACATAGAAACCTATACTACCTTCCACTCAACAGTAGTAGAATATTAAGGACAACCAGTACAAATTGCAGCTCAGACATACTAGTTCATAAAAGGATGCTAAAACCCTACTTAATATTAAACGAAGAGGAGGCTGTCGACAATAATTTGACAATGCCCAGTAATGCACAATGTTACGACCGCCACTGCACTCACCCTTAATAACCATAATGACTCCACAACTACTATAACATATCATTATACCACAAAGTATTATGTCATTAGCTCCACCTCCGCAGCTCCTGCTGAGTATAAGACATCTCATGCGCATTTTGTTCATTTAATGAAAATTAACTAAACAAAGGGAACGTGCAAATTTTCGCATGTATAACAGAAACTTCGGGCATCGAGGAATGCAAGAAAAAGAATAGATAGATATGAAACAGGTTTCTTCAAGATTACTATCTTGGAGAACAAAGATTACTATATGAATCATAATGAAACAGAAAAAAGAACAGCATGGAACTGGTCAACCAGTCAATTAACAATTGTGCAAATGTGCTTCGCAGATTAAAATTATGTTAGATAAATATCAAGTTATTGTATGTGAGTGACATAGACAGTCATCAATCAAGATCAATGTATTAAAAGGTGGAGCTGTAGGCAAGGCGTTCCATGGATACCCCCGCTTAGGCGTGAGGCAAAGCCTCACGGGACCTAAATAACTTGATATATATTGCATATATAAATTATATATATAGTATAATACTTTGTAAAACAAATATAATTATAACTAAGCCAAAGATAATTTCTTCTTCATTACTAAGTGTAGTTGTACTTGGAAATTATGTCATATAGTCTTAAAATGTTGTAATTATTTATTTTATTGTAAGCAATTATAGTGAACTTCAAGAGAAATATGGCTCAGTGGCCACAATTATAGGGAGTTTGAAAGGAAATAAAGGCAGAATGTCGCAATTAAAGGCAATTCAAAAGGAAATAAAGGCTAAGTGGAGCTATTATAGGGAATTTAAAATGAAATAAAGATTGAGTGGAGCAATTATTATAAGGAATTTAAAGCAAATAATGGCTGAGTGGAGTAGTTATAGGAAATTTCAGGAGAAATAAATCTTAGCTAATCAAAATGGTAGGTGGCAGAATCTGAATGAGCAATAATTAAATAAAAAACAAAAAAATATAAAAAAGAGTTAAGAGTTGGACTTTGCCACTAGGATTTGGAGAGAGAGAAACTTTCTCTCCTTCTTCCCTGAAACTAGAATGGCACACAGAGGAATGGCAGAAACAGAGGAACAGCAGAAATAGACCTGGATTTGGAAAGAAAAAACGCCCAACTGAATGCCTGGGCGCGCCTCAGCCGCCTAGGCGTCCCGACGATGCCTTACGCCTACCCCTACAAAACAGAGGCGAAAACCCAGCAGCCCCGCCTCCAAGGGTGCCTAGACGCACCCCGAGGCTAGTTTTTTTAAACACTGTTCAAGATCAAGCTTTGGGCCATGTACAGCCAATGTTTTCACATTTCACTTGCTTGACCATCTTCAACAACCAATTAAAATGCAAGCACATCAAATCTGTTTGGAGAATCAACCATCTCCAATGACTTAGTAGTGTGTACTCATACTGCATGCTTTAGCCCAATGATACTCATCGACACTGAGCAAACAATGACTTAGGACAGCATTGCATGGCTGAAATAAGGGCTTTTAGGAGGATTATTTAAAATGACAAGGAGTATTAGAGTTTAGGGTTTACAAGGCTTTGGATGAAAAATATTTAGTGTTTTGTTTGGGAATTTTATGACCCGTGAAAGGTCAAGGGAGTAACCAAGAATATAACTTTTGACTTCAATTGTAGTGTTTCCAACAGTAGGTTGAATTAGGGTTTCAAGAATAAGGTACTTAGCATTTTAAGGTGGTTGATCGTGGTGTGAAACACTGAACAAGTAACTAAACGAGGAGAAAAAGATTCAATAAGCGTAACCACACCCACTTCCAATGAATTATGTAATAACAAAAATTCTCCCAACTTCAAAAACCTCAGAAACGCAAATAAACCCTCACTAATAGCTTACTAATGAAAGATGCATTCTTATCAGAAAACAATAAGAAAAGCAGTCAAGGAATCAGACAGCTTAACCTGATTGCTTCCCCCTAGTCAAACAATCAACATAAAAGAAAGTACCAAAGAATTCACGCAAAAGAAATTATAAAAGAGTAGGGTTTAGTAGCAGATGTCCCATGTCACTTGAATGGGGCCAATCAAATACACCGGTACTGACATGTGCAACAAACAACTCACAATAAAGAATGTTTGAGTTATATTCATTAAATACACAATGATAGCACATTCTTCAGCAGTTTGGACTGGGATAAAGCATAAATATGCATACAGGACTTACTAACCTGAAACTGAACCAAATGCATCGCCTGAAACTGAACCACGTGGATCAAATTCATCTGAAGGCTCCACTTCCTGCTTCGAAGGCGATGCAGAAGCAACATGAACACTGGTTGCTTGGCTTGGATTATTGCTTGAAGGTGGAGAAGAAGCTCTAGGAGCAGAAGCTGCTGGAGTTTCACCACCCCTGTAATCAAGAAATATTAACTGATTGAGCTAACGCTTAAAATAGGAAGAAAAAAATGAGTGAATCAAATTCTTTATTTCAGACAAATTAATACCTTTCATTGTGAACAGGGCTTCGAGATTCACTTACAACCTCCTCATAACTAGAAGGAGCCCCAATGTTTTGTTCAGAAAATTTCCTGCTTAGCCTGCCAAAAATGAATAATATTGTTATTGGGAATTGGCAATGTTCTGGAATACTCTGATGAAATTACCATATATTACTAATCATTACTTTGTTTTTATTACCGAAGTCTTTAATATTTCTTCATATGAGGCATATGTATATACATATACAGATATATATATATACCCATAAAAAAACAATCAACATGTTCAACTTAAAGATCTTTAAAATTTTAATATTTGGATTTAATCATAAGTTCATGTCCAATGTATAGGAGCCAGAGACCCAAGAATATATTTCAAGCACATGTCCACTAAAGAGTTACCTTCCATCTTGAGATTGGTCATCAGTTTTAGCACCACTAACACTGCAATGAGGACACATAAAGAATAAACAATGAAGTTCCCATTTAGGTTAAGTAATAAGCAATGTTCTAAAAGGCGCTAGGTGCTATTCGGGGTGACAGGTAGGGGCCTAGGCGGTTTTTTTTATTTAAATTAAATTTATTATGACATATAAATAAGTGTCTACTTATAATACATAATCGTATTGGGAAACATAAATTGCAACATAAAAGTGACATACAAATTATAAAGTACTAGAACATATTCAGAACATGGGGAACAAGCATATAATGTGTTTCATCCAAGTATCCAACAAGCCCCTTACAACTTATTTAAACATGAAATGCAAAATGTAAGTTATCTAATTTCTATTTGAAAGAGAGTTCCAACCCTAACCAATTTTCTTAAAAAAAATTTAAAGCAAAAAAAGTCACAAAACCGCCAGCCCACCTAGACCCAACTAGACTCACCTAGTTGGGCTAGACGAAGGCCTAGCCTAGGCGCCCTTTATTATTTTTTAAACGCCCAAGCATTAATCGGGGCCGTGGCCAGCCGCCTAGCGCCTAGGCCGAGACTTTTAGAACACTAGTAGTAAGCAAATGATCAAGACTACAGCCTCAACTGTACAAATATTTAAAAAATAAAAAAAAAAGCATCCAAAAAATTTTGGCATGTACAAATATGCACTTCCACTTTTGATGCATTAATATGGAAAAGTTATCTTTGGTACTTTATTTCGTGCTGAAAACATATATTTAAACAGTAATATTTTCTAAAGTGGAACCATCATAAAAATGAATAAATTAAATTAAATAAAAACAAGAGAATATAATTGTTACATAACAAATCTGCTTTCTCAATGTTCAAGAAAATAGCTAAGTTGACTTCCTCAAAATAGAGTATGAGATAACCTAAAAAAAATACATGCCACCAAGAAAATCAAAATGTTTCTTAATCACATACTAGTAATGATTCAAAATTATCAACGGAAAAAGACCATTACCGAGAGGAATAATGACCATCATCATCAATTGAACGCTCCCTCTCTCTATCAGAGCTTCTACTTCTAGAGCCATGACGGTAATCATCAACACTTCGACTTCTTCCTCGATAATCATCATCCCTGTAACCTTCCCTCCCGTTGCGTTCATCATATTCTCTGCCATAACGATCTCCATCACGACTGTACCGGTCATCATCCCTATAGCCCCATTCTCGTTCCCTCCCATAGCCATTCCTATCTTCATCCCTGCCTCCATAGCGGCCTTCGTAATGATCATCGTCATATTTGTCACCATATCCTCCTAGACTTGAATGGGAACCAGGCCTATACATTCCACCTGTCGATGATGTATTACGAAACCTGTTGGATATACAATCAGTCAGAAACCCCTTTCATTAGAACTTCCTGTAAAGGATGAACCAGCATAGTTTTACAACATTACTCCTTTTACTTTGCTTATACATATAGATCTACAAAAAATACTACTTTTCTCTATTACACCTAGCTCTAGAATCCAAAGTGGTGAAACACTAAAAAATCACTGTTTGAAATGTTACTGCCACTACTCAAATGACAGCTAATACTGTAAAGCAATAAAGAAACTTCAAGACTTCGGAAATTTAACGTTTTAAAAAATATAGAGTGAAGATACTTTTCTTGTTCCTAATGGCATGGGATGCTTATATAAAAACTAACATTAAAATAAAAAATAAAAGAATTCAAGAAATGTAAAAGGTAGATATCAAAACAAAGCCCTTTCTGAGAGAATGCTTACTTGTCCCTGTTAGCAGCTGCTTTCTGTCTAACCTCAATTATCCTTTCTTTGTCATTGACAAGAGCCACAAGACTCTGAGACTTCTTTCTGACATTACTTCCCTGGTCCCTTCCACTGGAATCAATGTATTGAAAATCGGATAATGTCTGTTTCAGGAAAAAAGTACCGGTTTAGTAAGCTCGATAAACAAGTCGATGGGTAATCCAATGGGGTTGCCCAAGTGTGTGTGCAAGTGGGAGTGGTGTAATGTGGGCAAAAAGGGCCAATTATTATGACATGCCAAGGGTTATTATGACATGCCAAGGGTTCCATCCCTTCCCAACACTCCAAAACAACTATTTCATGTCTTTGTGATTATCAGAAAAATGAATGAAGATATGAATCTTGGAAACAAAGGGCGGTAGTTACCGATATTTGATACGCATGCTCCTTGATATCATCGATGACACGCTCTGACCCATGACCCACCATGTATTCCAAGATAATTAAAGCCTGATTTTAAGCACAAATATTATATGAACAACATGTCAACACAGAAGTAAACAAACCTCACCATAGTACTAGATGCATGTGAAAGCTAACAATAAAAAAAATTAAAAATTAAAAAAAAATATAGTGACTGTGATAATAGGAGTTACCCATACATTACATGGAGATGGAAGGGGACGGGAGAGGGAGCGAGACTAAGAGACAGACACAGAGATAGAAAGCAAACGAGAGAGAATCCTAAACAATGTGTGTCTGCAAATAACTCCAACAAAGTACATAGAGATGACAAACCTTGTAAACATGCCTCCAGTTCTTTCCAGTATCACTTAGCCGCTTCCAAATGATGGACATGATCATCTGGTATTCATGACTGCACAATTGTTTGGGAATGAATTTCTTTTGAAGATAATAATTGATACAAAGAAACTGTCAAACTTACTAGTTTCGGGTTGCCAGTGCAATGTCAGCAAGAAGTGATCCATGAGGACCCCAGGGCTCATTACTTGTAGCATCAAGAACCTAAATAGGAGAGAGAGTGGTGTCAGTTGATGAGAGTGAGAGTGAGAGAGAAAGAGTGGTGTGAGTTGATGAGAGTGAGAGTGAGAGAGAAAGAGTGGTGTGAGTTGATGAGAGTGAGAGTGAGCGACAGAGAGAGAGAGAGATGGACTACATCCTGAGGCAGTTATGTTAATTAACCAACCTACTTTTGCAGAGCTAACAAAAAAGAAAACTACCTTCTGTTCTATTCCAGGAACTTTCAGCACTTTCTTGTTCACCTCTCTCTTTCTGCAAGAACACAACAAACAACAGCAGTTTAGCGTTTTGGCTACAAACCATACGGAATTTTTTTTTTTTTTTTTTTTTTTTGTCAACATCGTAAAAAAAACAATTCAGAATTCGTAACGTTGAACCAAAAAAGATCACATATTAAGTAACAAGTACATACGAAGATTATTATCAAAGCACAACAAAATTGATAAAAATACATAGCAATCAACTTAAAGTGATGAACACGATTTAAGACTTACATGTCCCTAACAGTTTGATCAAAGACTTTCTTCATCTTAGCACGATTTCCGAATCATTAGTAATGAACAACAGCGGCAAATCCGCGATCCAAAACGAATATCGCCTCTTAGGAACCTTGACCTGCAAGAAGCATCAATTCAGTTCAAAGAAGACAAGGATCATAAAAAATTTCTGGACCTAATAACAGAATGTACCCAGATCAATCAAATTGAAACTCAAATTTCATCGAATACAGAAATGGTTGGCAAATTTGAATCAACTTTAATCGTTGCAAATTAACAAACATACATATATATATATATATATATATATAAAGAATGAATCTATCGAATCAAGTATTGAAAACCCAAATAATAATTTGACCCATAAAAAAACTATTAATTGGGAAAAAAAATTCGAATTTGAAATCAAATGTACAAATAAGCAGAGCTGAATCAAAGAAATACGAACAAAGGGAACGAATTAGATCTGAAACAGAGAAAAATCAAGAAAATTAAGGAGAACCAGATCTAAATGGAAGGAAACCTACCTGATCCAATTGAAGCGATTATTGGGTCCCCAAAAAAATTGTGAATAAAGAATAAGAAATGGATCTGGTACAGATAAAGGGAGGTGAAGGAGAAGGATCAGAGAGAGAGAGAGAGTAAGAGAGAGAGAGGAGAGAGGAGAGCTCCTGAATTCCCTGAGCTGTTTTTTTGGTAATTGTCTTTATTCTTTGAACAAGATAAACAGTGAGAAGAAGAGAGATATTTTGAAGAATTTTGGGTTTTGGCTTTTTAGGGTTTTTTGTGTTAATGATTTGCTATTTGCATTCAAAAAATTCATTTTGTATTCTAGAATTTTTATAATTAAAAATAAAACTATACTTGTGAGAATTATAGAATAAAATTTTTGAAATGCTAAATAATTCATTTTCTATTTTAAACAATAGTAAAAAGGAGAAAGTCGATATTTATATTTTAAACTACTTATTGTAAATTACTTTTACTTAGAGGGAAAAATGAAATGGAATGGAAATTAGCGTAATGATGAAAAAGACAACGTAATTTTACATGCAGCGATTCATGGACAGCTGTTGTGACAACCTGTCCCAAATTTTCTATGTAATTTCTTCCCGAGTATGTGAATTGACTATTATGCCCTTTTTGGCAAGTGACATGGACATATTTATATCACTTTTATTTTATTTCTCGCTATCGCATTTAAATTGTACACGTTGTTATGAGTGTACATGGATTTTTATCATTGTAGAAACACTGTTACGGATAGATTTCTATGTCCTTTTAAAGTAGAAAATCTGAAAACTTATCCCTTTAAAGCCTATCTGTGCCTATCCCCTCAATCAACTCCCTCAAATCTCTCACCAATCCCATCATTTCCCTCTACATGGCACCCAATCAGAAAAAGCAAGAAAATATCTCACTCTTTCTCTCTTCCTTCTCTCTCCCTCTCGTAAACTCTCTTATTCTCTGCAACACCACAAACAAGCCTCAAAGCTTGCAGATCTAACCTAAAAACCACTTCTTTGTGCTCATCTCACCTTTACGAGCACAACCATACCTGTAAAACCTTAAATGGACAAGTTTTTAACGTCGAACTCGTGAGGTCCAAACTCAGTGTTTTGAGTTCGACGTGTTTGTGACCAAGTTACAAGCTTTTAGGAATGTTAAAGGCTTCCATTCAACTCCCCGAGGTCCTTAGTGAAGTTTTGGTGAAGAATCAACGTTGAAACAACCAAGTTTTGAGGAGTTCACTTTTGGGTGAAGCTTTCGAGGTGTTTTCCGACCACCTCCATCCACTTTTTGGACTCCAAACAAGTATAACGTGATTCTACTTTTCATGAGCTTCAAATCCATATAAAGTAGGTCAGAATGGTTGAGGAAGAAGTTATGCGAGTTTGAAAATTTTCTAGAAACCGGCAAGATTCGAGTTGCAGACGGTGGCACCGACGGCGGAGGATGGCGACGGACGATGGGGCTCACCGGAGAAGAAGGAGAATATTCCGCCAAAGTTGACGGAATATCCTAACGGCATCAGGTAATGCCGTTAACCTTTGTTAAGGATTTAAAGGAATGTTTTGTGGAATATTCCTAACGGCCGTTAAGCCTCTGTTAGTGTTCAGCCGCGCGTGGGGGCGCGTTAGGCCTTGCTTTGGCCGGCGCGTGGGGGCGCGTGCAAGGTCCAAAATTATTTCTAAAAATTTGGGGATGTTCATGACGTCGAGTAGATCGATTTCATGTATTTAAATCCTATGTTTGAGCAAACTATGAGGATTTTATTTAGGTTTCCATATATGTGCTTTAATTAATTCTATTATAGTTATTTCACATATAGAGGAAACTTATCCCGAGGACTTGAGGGGCCAGACTAGGCTCGGGGGCTACGACCCAGCAATGTACTTGTGAGTGGGCAGTTTATTTCTATATATATATATATATATATATATATATATATATGGCTTATAGTTTCCATAAACTGCATTTAAATGATTTATGCCTATTATGCCAATTTTAGTTTAATTTGGTAAATGTGCTTTGTGCTTGGAATTATAAAATGGTTATGGCTTGTCCATACGTATATTTACTTGCTTACAATTATGGTATTGTGGTAGAATACTAAAACGTTTCTACAAGACGCACAGGTAAATTCAGGTGAGCTCAGTATTGATTTAAATTGTGTAGCATACATATATTCATATAGTTAGCTTATCATTACTACACCCAGGTGTTAGTGCTCCCGCTCGGGGCTAGGGCCAGCCTTCACGTGTATACTCGTCTTGGATTCAAGTTAGGTGCTAGCCTATCATACAAGTCACATTAGGTGACTCCGACTTGTAGGTGACTGTGCTTAGCGCAACCTGCACATGATTGTAACACTAGAGCGTATATTATTATACCTAGCTTGTCGTACATGTCACATTAGGTGACTCTGACTTGTGTGTTAGTATAGACGGATGTTAGTATATACTTGCGTGTTAGTATATAGTCAAACACATGCCTATATTTCTATTTTGGCTGAATTATTCATGTTGTGGCACATTTCTGTGATATATATATTGTTGGCGTGCACTTGATTCTTCATACTTATATGGTAGTATGTTTGGTTTTAAGGAAACTATACTTATTTTACGACGAGGGGTTAGTATATTAAAAAATAAAGGTTTTCTTATAAGCATTGTTTTTTTGACCCACTCAACTTTATTTTTCGCCCCTCTAGGACCTAGATAGTTGTACTCTTCGTGGCACTCGAGGAATCTCGGAAGTTCTAACATTCTTTTCAGTTTAGACGTATGAATTTATCACTGTTGTGTAATAAGTGTACTTTAGCTGCTTTGACTACTCTTTGGTAGTTGTACTGTCTTTTAAGCTCTGAATAATTGTAGTGGGTTATTCCCACGATTGCACACTATTTCACTGTTTAGTATAATTAATTCTAGCTAGTTGTAAATTTATTCACTTTTTCACATCACTTACCCTTATGGTTACGTCACCTCACGGTGATGGCCAACATGCTTTGTGTGACAATCCGTCCTTAAAATTACGTTTTTATTTATTTTAATCAAGGGAATTGATGAAAATGCTCTGGAGGCAAGGATTTTGACTTCTGTTGATCATCGTCTAGAGGAACGTATGACTTATTTTTTGGCGTATTTGTGTAGTACTCGTTGGTACGAATGCATAGGCGAAGACCGTTCGAGAGTCCGAATTGTAACAGTATAGTTACAGACGTTTGAAATTGGTTATTTACATTTTAAATTATTAAATTATTTGAACTCCCACCTTGTGGGAAAGAAGCCAATCAATTTCAAGGAGAGAAAATAGGGACCGATGAGAGGAGAGAGGAGCAACCAATCAGCCAATTAGTAGAGGAAAAAAAAAAAGATTTTTCCCCTCCATTCCCGTGGACCCATTTACCAGCACCAACCTGGAGTGGCTTCCGGCCACCTCCATCATTTTCAGGCGAAATTCAACTATCCATCACCTGCAACCTCTTCCACCATCTCCCATCTTCCATTTCCAACCAAAGTTGAGGGCTTTTAGGTCCAAAATCGTGCAAAACCATGCGGGTGATCCATGGAGTTTTGACGGTGATTCTGCCATTCCGGCGAGTTTCACCACTCACCACCACCCTTAATCAACTCCCCTTGAACCCAAGAACAAGACCCAATCAGTTTTAGGTGCGTTGGAAGATCGAGGAAGTCGAATCGAAGAACACCCATCTTAGGGTTTCCGGCGGGTTTGAGTGAAATTGGAGCCTTTCCCGGCCAAATTGGACTTGGCCACAGGTATAAAACTTGCTCTACTCTTTGAGATCTTCATTTTTTGTAAAATTTGAGAATTTTTGGAGATAGTTGAATTTTCTAGCGAATTGGGGCGGTCGACCGCTATGTACAGTGGCGCATGAGCCGAGTCACCCCTGACCTTTCTAAGCTAAGTTTGACACCCCAATTCCATAGGTGAAGTCTGATTGATGAAATCTCATTGTTTGAACTTAGTTTTGATGAAGACCGCTACTTGAACATTATGTGAATTGACAATCCAACCGTTGGATCGTCACCAAACTTTAATACATTATAGTATGTAATATTTGAGGATATTAGAAACTTACAGATTGGGAATCTGACGTATGGATATTCCCTAATTGGATTTGTTAGTGCGTAAAATAAAACATTGACTGCCACTTGAATTGGCAATTGGCGGAGATCCAACCGTTGGATCGTAATGAAACTTTAGTATGATGTTTTAGAAGTACAATGTGGATCTTTGGAAGTTACGGATCCGAAATCCGAGATGTGGATCTTTCGGATTGAGTTACGTAAGGTTGTGGACACTACCGTTGATCTTTGACCGACGGTTGACTTTTGGTCAATGAGTCTCAAATCATTCTAGAACGTCATTGAGATGTGTTTTATGTAAGGCATGTGTTCTATTGATAAGAATTCTGAGACGTGACTGAATAATTGTTCTAGGTGAGGATCATTCGAGACATCTCGATGTTCGTGCTAGGGAGTCGTAGGGCGGACCTCAGGTGAGTGAGTCTTTTCCTTTTATCGTATATAGATATGACTGATAATTCCACAAATGCTTTTAAATTGTTCTATGCATTTTATGCCATGTTATATATATGTTAAAATACTATGGTATGGTTGAGTTATATATTGCATTATGGTATATCTATACGCATATTATCGGCATATAAGTTGAACTACGAATAGCTTGATACCGTTTGAGGGTACGTAGGTAGTCTAACAAGACAATTAGATGCAGCCATAAAACAATCCAAATTTAATATGGTACTTGGTTTCATTAAGGACAGAAGTTATGATGGTTAACAGCTTAAAGATTAACCATGATTTTATTCTAGTCTATCACTGGGTTTAGTTCTGATTAAGAATGTTAGGACGTTAAAGTGGTTATGCCTAATGACATTGCAAACGCCCAGGTAAGCTTCAGGTGAGTACTTATTGATGATAGAAATTGCAGTGAGTATAGTTGTGATGAGGGTCAACCGTACAAGTCACGTTAGGTGGCTCTAGCTAACATGGTACTATTGATGGATGAGGGTCAGTCATACATGTCACATTAGGTGACTCCGGTTGACACAGTACTATTGATTGATGAGATATGGACGAGTGGTACAGGTCACTATAGGTGACACCGACTTATGTGCTAGCATCGATTGATGAGATATAGATGAGTCGTACAGGTCACTATAGGTGACTCCGACTTATGTGCTAGCATCGATTAATGAGATATGGATGAGTCGTACAGGTCAA